TGCAGCTTTTTCTTTTGTTTGCTGGTGTTTTTTTTTTTTTGTTTGCAGCGTTTCTTTTTTGTTTGCAGCATTTCTTTTTTGTTTTCAGCGTTTCATTTTTTTGTTTGTTGGTGTTTTCTATTTTGTTTGCATCGTTTCCATTTTTGTTTGCATCGTTTCTTTTTTTGTTTGCATCATTTCTTTTTTGTTTGCATCATTTATTTTTTTGTTTGCAGCGTTTCTTTTCTGTTTCCATGATTTCTTTTTTGTTTGCAGCGTTTCTTTTTTGTTTGCAGCATTTCTTTTTCTTTGCAGTGTGTCCCTTGTGGGCCATCGTAAAAAACAATACACGCGACAAAGTATCTTTGACGCGACATACATACTTTCAACGCTGTGTGGGTGGGTCGTAAGCGAAGTTAAGGGAGAAAAAACGGTATATAAAATGGCACAAAGCGACCCTCGTAAGTGGCATATGCCAGGATGGCGAATAGAACAACGTTATGGGAATAAAGTACTAATCGGAAATTGGTCAGAAGAACGTTTTGATGCTGTAGGTATCCGTTGATTAAGTATTAATTTAAATTAGCCTAGGGTCTAGGCCTTTTTTCTAAGCTAGGCTAGGCCCTAGCCTATAATACTATAGTCAATTTTGACCCTACTAGCCCTGGTAGTAGTAGGGGGCATAGTAGTAGGGGGAAGGGATTGGGAGCGCCTCCCGTTTACACACACATCTGTGTTGTTTCCTTCTCCTACCTATCTAGCCTACCCTAGGCCCTGCCCTGTCTGAATCAACCAGTTATACATGGGTCTGCATCTGTCTGGATGAGATAAAGTATTGTTACACCCAATAAATTTAAACAAATTCCTAATTCTGATTGGATGTCCTAATCCCATCCATCAATACCATAAATTAATTAATGATTAATAATAATTATACTAAGTGGTAGCTATTTTCCACCAGTGTAAATTGAATACTAGTTATTACTGGGTGCAGGTCAACTCAGCCACAAGTCAACTCAGCCACAGTCAACTCGGCCACAAGTCAACTCGGCCACAAGTTAACTCGGCCACAAGTCAACTCGGCCACAAATCAACTCGGCCACAAAAAGTTCGGCTACAGCCAACTCGGCCACAAGTCAACTCGGCCACAAGTCAACTCGGCCACAAATCAACTCGGCCACAAGTCAAAGTCAACTCGGCCACAAGTTATTTAATGTAAATCTAAGTTTTTGCATCCTTTTTCTTCAATATATGATTGAAATAAAGTACACAGTATGTTTTAGTAAAACAGGACCACCACACTACCAAAAGAGATTTGAATTTTATTGCCTATGAATTAAAAAGAGTTATTTATTAATGTGTTCGTCTTCTGTTTAGTCACAACATTCTACTTCAACAATAATATTAAACAACAATAACGACAATAAATTAGTAATATTTACATTAATAATACTAATTAGTCATTATGACGATA